AAAGTATTGAAAGGTAAGCATTTATAATGCTGTTGACATGTTACATGTGTAAATGAACAGGAAATGATTGCTGGCATGCAGTGCAATCATGAGCTCATGAGAAGGAGAACATGCTATAGGAAAAAAACTCAGATTGACAAGGTAGGAAAATCCTTTTCGTTTCACGAAAAGTAATTTATGCCTTCCTCTCTAGCCGACACCTTAATAAAGAATGGGAATAAACAATAGCCGACACAGTTCATTCGTTTGGCGGGAATATAAGGTATTTTAATACTGACATGGATTCAATACAAATAGATATTGATAAACAGCTATAGAAACTTGTGTACAATTCACAATGCTCGTTGAGACATGATGGTTACCATGACAACCGAAACACACATCTTATGAACAGATTTTCAGTGTAAAAATATTATGCCAATCTTACAACTTTTCCATAGATTGTGCACTTTCTACCGTAATGTTAGTCAGGATTTTTTCCCACCACCAATGCTGTAATAGTTTAACAATACAAGAACTGTCAAAGCGACTTATGCTGGTCAGAGTCACGATAGCACGATACATGAACTAGAACATCGTAGAATGGTGGTGAGCATATGTACTAGTTTATAATTAGTTCTGTGGAAGCTGCTTTACAATTTGAAATATCCATGTTTCTAGTTACTAATAGAGATAGCTAACTGCTATAAATTCTTAGTACTAATGTTGGTTCGTGTCTAAAAGCTATGAACTGTGCCAGACACAACAGTTTCAGTGACTAGGCAAAACGGACAGCTGATGCTACTATATGTTAGAACCTTGAGAACAATATGGTGTTCCATGAATAACAAACATGGTTTGAACTATGTAGGTATCACAGTAGAACAATGTTTAATGTTTATGTGCGCTACAATGATCTCATTGAACAGTTGTGGAACGATATATCACAGTCAGAACGCCATAACGATCGGGTGGTTGTAACGACGACTGTTACATTCCTACACAATATTCTGTTACAATCAAAGTTCGACTCCTAACAACTAACTATAACGTTCGAGTCTATCAACTGACTTTGATAATTTGGCAAGCCGACTGGAAAAAGAAGTTTAGCAATCGTGTCATACGGTAATAATGACCGTATAACTGTTCTAACCTATTATGACTGTTCTAACAAGTAATACATTTTAACGAGTGGATAAGGCAACAGTCTAGCAACAAAGATGCGGCATTCTGATTCCCAACTCATGGCCAGTGCCGATTAACATTATCATTATAACAATGGGCATTTTACCCTGTATTCAATGGAGGCACGAAGGCAACTCGCCAGGACGCGCCTGTTATTTTACCCGTATCTGTTATGCGCTGTGTGGCTACATTGTATTATAGATCATGTTCGAATATACTGTTTGAACGCATCAGAGGACCATCTCCCTAGTAAGCGGAGTATGGAATCTGGTACTCCCTGTAAGGCTGCCTGCGTAGCAG